ATCTAATCTTGTTCAACCAACATGATTCGAAGTGGATTCATCAACTAAGCAAATACTGTCTCTAACATGGAGCCAGACATATACAACTAGATAAAAATCTAAATATTGTACACTATATTCAGGAGCAAAACCTAGATTCTGACAGCATGAGAAAAGCTTTTTCTTTCTGTGGTTTTAATTATAGACTAGTTTCTCAACAGCTTCAGTTTCAGTCAGTAACTCATCTGTTCCCTCCCCCCATCGCCAACATTTTAATCTATTGAGATCAATGGCTTAGACAAGTCTAGTAACACTATAGAGTTCTTCACTACCAAATAAGGAAAGCTCATTAAAAAACTTCTTTTTATCAGGACATGAGTCTCAATAACTAAACAGTATTGTAAGCTGCACTTGGTAACTTTTCTATGCCTGGGAAAGCTGCATTAAAAAAAGATGATATATGGTGCACCATGCTCGTACTTCACTTTGTAACTGTGATTATATTTTAAAAAATTGTTATGCCTTCCAAAATCTTTGTAAAAATTATGTAATATGTGGAGGGTCCTGCAAATCCAATAAATGCAGATAGGGACTCTAATTTTACTAGAGTTTGGGAAAATTTATTTTGAATATATTCTGCTTTCTATTTTGGGTTCCCCTCAAATTCCAGCAATTTCAGGACATACTCTGTATTTTGTTAGCATAGGATAGGGGAACTGTAATTGTGTTCCCCATTGAAAGAAATGAAGAAAAACTGTATATAATATCTGCAGAGATTTATTATTTGCTGTGTAGAATTGATAAGTTGGAGCATATCTATTTGCTGGGAAAGGGATGTAGTAGATATAGCAGTTGCTTAATCTTCAGAAAGTCTCCTGGTAGCTCTCATCCATGAATTAGAACTCATTGGTATGAATTTAAAGTTACAATTATCTTAATAAGAAATTGACAGATGGTAAGTTCAGTATCATCTGCATATTGATAGTATCTAACTCCCAATGAATCAATGACCTCTCCTCACAGTCTCCTGTCTATAATGAACAGCAGCGGAGGAAGGATATCCACAAGTGACTACCTGATGGGCTGATTTCAATTCCCCATCCATCACAGATTGGATCTGCTCCCTCATAAAATAAAAGACAGCACATCCAACTCCCAGTCCTCTAAGCAGCCTAACAGAATGACCTGGTTAATAGTATCAAATACCCCCAAAAGATATAATAATACTAGAATGGATGCATTCCTTAAAAGCGTTGAAGGTTATCTACCAGAGCAAAATGCATTTTTATTCCACAACTGAATCCAAACTGAGGATATGAGCACCCTATTCACTCATCAGAGTTCACAGATCAAAAGGAGTCCTAGATAATGTTGCTAGCCATGCTTCGGGCATCACTTCTGATTCTGCCCGTGAATAATCAAGATTACAGAGAATGTGAGCAATGTTAATTGCAAAATCTGGTGACAAAAAGTCACAAGACTTTTTCCTGCTCGTATTTCTCTATTAGGAAGCACTCAGATTTAAACAAGTTCCTCCCCACACTTAAAGTCACAGGTGGTAGGCTTGACCATACAGGTAATCCCTGATTTACGACCATTCATTTAATAACCGTTCAAAGTTATAAAAATTATTTTAAAAATGCAAAGACTGACCCGTGCTACATTCCACCAGCTGCTGCTTAAACTGTAAGTTTTGGGAGAATCCACCAGGAAAGTAGCAAGGCCCTGATTGGATCTCCATTATATTTATAGGGTATTATACTCTATTTAAACCCCATTCCAACTCTGATCGGGTTGCTGGAACGTGCTACATTCCACCAGCTGCTGCTTAAACTGTAAGTTTGGGGAGAATCCACCAGGAAAGTAGCAAGGCCCTGATTGGATCTCCATTATATTTATAGGGTATTATACTCTATTTAAACCCCATTCCAACTCTGATCGGGTTGCTGGAACGTGCTACATTCCACCAGCTGCTGCTTAAACTGTAAGTTTTGGGAGAATCCACCAGGAAAGTAGCAAGGCCCTGATTGGATCTCCATTATATTTATAGGGTATTATACTCTATTTAAACCCCATTCCAACTCTGATCGGGTTGCTGGAACGTGCTACATTCCACCAGCTGCTGCTTAAACTGTAAGTTTTGGGAGAATCCACCAGGAAAGTAGCAAGGCCCTGATTGGATCTCCATTATATTTATAGGGTATATACTCTTATTTAAACCCCATTCCAACTCTGATCGGGTTGCTGGAACGTGCTACATTCCACCAGCTGCTGCTTAAACTGTAAGTTTTGGGAGAATCCACCAGGAAAGTAGCAAGGCCCTGATTGGATCTCCATTATATTTTATAGGGTATTATACTCTATTTAAACCCCATTTTCCAACTCTGATCGGGTTGCTGGAACGTGCTACATTCCACCAGCTGCTGCTTAAACTGTAAGTTTTGGGAGAATCCACCAGGAAAGTAGCAAGGCCCTGATTGGATCTCATTATATTATAAGGGTATTATACTCTATTTAAACCCCATTCCAACTCTGATCGGGTTGCTGGAACGTGCTACATTCCACCAGCTGCTGCTTAAACTGTAAGTTTTGGGAGAATCCACCAGGAAAGTAGCAAGGCCCTGATTGGATCTCCATTATATTTATAGGGTATTATACTCTATTTAAACCCCATTCCAACTCTGATCGGGTTTCTGGAACGTGCTACATTCCACCAGCTGCTGCTTAAACTGTAAGTTTTGGGAGAATCCACCAGGAAAGTAGCAAGGCCCTGATTGGATCTCCATTATATTTATAGGGTATTATACTCTATTTAAACCCCATTCCAACTCTGATCGGGTTGCTGGAACGTGCTACATTCCACCAGCTGCTGCTTAAACTGTAAGTTTTGGGAGAATCCACCAGGAAAGTAGCAAGGCCATGATTGGATCTCCATTATATTTATAGGGTATTATACTCTATTTAAACCCCATTCCAACTCTGATCGGGTTGCTGGAACGTGCTACATTCCACCAGCTGCTGCTTAAACTGTAAGTTTTGGGAGAATCCACCAGGAAAGTAGCAAGGCCCTGATTGGATCTCCATTATATTTATAGGGTATTATACTCGATTTAAACCCCATTCCAACTCTGATCGGGTTGCTGGAACGTGCTACATTCCACCAGCTGCTGCTTAAACTGTAAGTTTTGGGAGAATCCACCAGGAAAGTAGAAAGGCCCTGATTGGATCTCCATTATATATATAGGGTATTATACTCTATTTAAACCCCATTCCAACTCTGATCGGGTTGCTGGAACGTGCTACATTCCACCAGCTGCTGCTTAAACTGTAAGTTTTGGGAGAATCCACCAGGAAAGTAGCAAGGCCCTGATTGGATCTCCATTATATTTATAGGGTATTATACTCGATTTAAACACCATTCCAACTCTGATCGGGTTGC